CCTTGGAACTATCTTTTGTTTTGATCCCTCGTGTTAGTGTGCTTATATTAACCAATTCGACCTGATATAATACACAAGGGTGACTAACAATTGGTCGTCTGATGAGGTGAGGCCTAGAGAGAGAGTGAACTGTTTATATATACAGTATTACATTACAGTGACAAGGTGACGTGCTGCCTGGGTGCTGCTGCCTGACGGAAAACATATCGTACTGCTCTATGACTGTTATTTCTTTCTGTCTGTCTGTCTGTCTGTTTGTCTGTCTGTCTGTCTATCTATCTGTCTGTCTGCCTGCCTGCCTGTCTGTCTGTGTCTGTCTGTCTGTCTGTCCTACAGGTATATTGATATTAGGAATTTAATTAAAAAATCTCTCCTCTCCTTGTTAACTAATGCATCCTGACAGCCCCTCTTATTCTCTCCCAGTCACTCTCCCACTCACCACTCTCACTCTTTCACTTTCACGATCCCACTCCTTTCTCACACCTTCCTCCTACTCACCACTCTCCCTCACCTCACTCTCACTCTCTCTCACCCACCACTCTTACTCACGTACTCTGACCCACTCACCCAATCATCCCTAACCACCCACACCCACTCACCCCTCTCACTTACTTCCCACCACCTTTCAATTTCTCAAATTATAAACCAGAAGTAGGAGAGGTTAAACCAAGTAGAGTAAAACCACTTCCATTTTAACGAGCAAGTCACCTGCCCTCTCCCCCCTCTCCCCCCTCCCTCCCCCGCTTAATGTAACCTCAAGCGACCACCAATAGAAGGAGATGAATATATTTCCTTGATTTACGAATTATTTCCGACCTTTATCGTGAAATGGAAATAAATTGCTTGGAAAATGTGAAGCATGTTTTTTTTTCCCAGAATGTGATGGTGTGTAATGGTTGGATTTGTGTGAATTCCTTTAGGTTTTTTGTGTGGATTTTTAATTATTATTTTTTGATTAATGTGCTGGGACAAACAAGCTGCCACCAATGTAACGGAGGGGGGGGGGAACAAACAAGCTGCCACCAATGTAACGAAGGGGGGGAACAAACATGTCACCAATGTAACGGAGGGGGGGAACAAACAAGCTGCCACCAATGTATCGTGGAGGGGGGGGGACAAACAAGCTGTCACCAATGTAACGGAGGGGACAAAACACACCAATGTAACGAGGGGGGAACAAATGTTGCCACCAATGTAACGAGGGGGGAAATGTCGTTGCCACCAATGTAACGGAGGGGGAACAAACAAGCCGCCACCAATGTAACGGGGGGACAAATGTTGCCACCAATGTAACGGAGGGGGACAAACAAGCCGCTACCAATGTAACGGGTGGGGTACAAACAAGCTGCCATCATCAACGAGGGGGGAACAAACAAGCCACACCATCGTAACGGGGTAACAAACGTCGCCACCAATGTAACGGTGGAGGGGACAAACAATATCAATGTAACGCAGGAGGGGGGAACAAACAGCCACCAATGTAACGGAGGGGGGAACAACAAGCCGCCACCAATGCAATTTGAGGGGGGAACAAACAAGCTACCAATGTAACGGTGGGGCATCAAAACAAGCTGCCACCAATGTAACGGAGGTAAACAAGCTGCCACCAATGTAACGGAGGGGGGAATAAACAAGCTGCCACCAATGTAACGGCAGAGGGGGGGAACAATGTCGTCACCAATGTAACGGTGTGGGGTAAATAAACAAGCTGCCATCAATGTAACGGAGGGGGAACAAACAAGCTGCCACCAATGTAATGGAGGGGAAACAAACAAGCTGCCACCAATGTAACGTAGGGGGAACAAATTGCCGCCACCAATGCAACGGAGGGCAAAATGTCGCCACCAATGTAACGGTGGGGATACCACGTAACGGTGGGGGACAAATAAGCCGCCACCAATGTAACGGTGGGGGACAAACAAGCTGCCACCAATGTAACAGGTGGGGGGGGACAAACAAGCTGCCACCAATGTAACAGGTGGGGGGGGACAAACAAGCTGCCACCAATGTAACATGATAACTCCTTGCAGATTACTTACTTCTCACACCTACTGGTGGTCCGTGGCATTACTGTACAGTTACAAGAATCAACTCCTTGACTATACTCAGGTAGTCCCACGGGGATAACTTCACTTCTCACACATTACTCGGTACTTCTCATTACATCCAGTTATATGACAACTTTAGCTGATACTTCACAAACTGTTGGTAGTGCATAGGAGGTGCACTCACACACAACACGTTAATACTGATACCATCAAATACATGGGTCCACTCCCCAACATGGGGTAATTATTAACAAACACATACAACAACACGGTGGACCATATAACTCCAAGGCCTGTCCCAGGGTATAGCACTGGAGCCTCTAACAACTGACGACTGCTGTTGTGGTCGGTTACACTCCGACACGAGGCGGGTCTGGGGCCCTCGGCCCACGAGGTGAACCTGCCGTCTCAATCATGTTGAATCAACGACATCGTCGATATATTGATCCCTGCGGGGTATCTACTGGCTCCGGGGCAGTCGTTGGGTGATCCGAGAACCACAAATTGGATCTGGAGACAAATGGGAGAGCGTCACGAGAGGACGTCTCTCCTCCCGCTCATGGTATATACCCTTGAG